TATTTTGGTGGTCATTGCGCCTAGGAAATGAAGCGAGAAGACTCATTTTGTCACCATTCTTGGGTGGCGCGTGCTGAGTGGGGTGTGGTTTTCCAGCCAAATATAAAGAAATCACACCATCACGCTTAAATTCCATCACGAATAACTTTTTTTCTAGAAAATCCTCACCAAAAGGCTTTTGTACGTTTGTAAACAATATAATGAGCTGACACTGGAATAATTTTAACAGTTGTCGGACGAGTTTCTTAGACATGACAGCAGTCTGAAGTTGGTTACAGTTTTTTCATCTCACTCTGTAAGTCCAAATGGCCAATATAAGTTCTAAAAGCCTAAGCTTTGGCAAATCCAACCTAATTCAGTATAGAAGCAACTAGATTAAATTTAGTGAAAGTCAGTTCAGACATAGCTATAGCTCCCATATATATGTTTCGTCTGATTTGGATTTCGACATAGCTCCCATATATATCTTATTCCGTTTTCAAGCTTTTTGTGTACCAAATGGCTAATATCAACGCAAATGAACTGAATTTTGGCAATTCTGACAGAATTCGGCCTAGATGCAGCTGCTTAAAATTTTGGTGACAATGGGTTCAGATATAGCTATAGCTCCCCTCGCATTCGTCATATGCACTTCACAACAATTATCTTTGGTAGAAGTTATCAGATACAGCTTAGAAATAAGTGCCTAAAATTTTGTCAAGATCGGTTCAAATTTGGAAGAAGCTCCCATACATATGTTTATCTTCAAATTTTGGTAAATAGCGGTTCAGATATAGCCCAGCTCCCATATAATTGTTTCTTCCGATTTGGTGTTTAAGTCCCTCACATTTGTATTATGTATTCGACAACAATGATATTTAGTACCAGATATCAGATACAGCCCAAAAATACCTCTACTAAATGTTATCAAGATCGGTTCTGATTTGGATATAGCTGTCATAGATATATCTTCAAACGATTTCGGGTTAATTGTGCACCAAATGGCCAATATTTGTCCAAAAGTCCTTATTTTTAGTACACCCGACCAAATTCAGCTCAAAAGCGAATACATAAAATTTGAAGAAAATTATCGAGATCGGCTAAGGTTTGGATATAGCTCCCACAAATATCCTTAATATGATTTCAGGTTTATGGTGCAAATAATGGCTAATATCAGTCTGAATGGAGTGAATTTCGTGACGTATGTTTCCATTTTGTGGAACTCGGCTCCGATACATATTTTTTAATATCTCGAAGTGACATCATGCACTTTATAGCAAAGTTATTATTCACAATTGGATACGCCTCAAATATATTACTTTCCTCTGAAACTAAACTATAACTGCTCTAAAGCCAAATGTTGATAGGTGGTATGATCTACTTTAAATAAATTCTTTTATTACGTGAGCTCTACTCGTTATTCCTAAGAGTTGGATTAGTATTTGCATGTAGAAAAAAATTCCGCTTACCTTCAAAATTTTGAATACTATGAAAGCACATTGAGCCACTGTATCACTACAGACATTTTACAATTTCTTGGTTTTTGAAACATTTTTCTTTACGTTTTTTGTATAGTTTTTTTTTTTTTTTTTTTTGCATATTTGTAACTATCGCTTTTTTTCAGCATAACAGGTGGCTCGTTTGCCAACAATCACTGTGGTTTCGTGATTCAGTATGACATTTAAAATTATGGTCATTTATGTGGAGAAGAAACGAAATAAAAAACATCGCCTAGAAACTACTAAAGGTGTCACATTGTGTGAAACGCATGGAAATTGTTTTTCTTCTTCTCTGGACTCGCCATACCTCCAAATTAACGTTTAACTGTAGTTGTTCACATTTTATCATATTTTTTGTAAGTATTATTTTGAACTCTGTGGGAGTGTAATTCACAATTCGACACATGTTAATAATTGTTTTCCAACGCATACCACATTCATTTTCAATTTAAATGCAATACAGCTAAATGGTTCAAAGATGGATCGAGGTTATTTGTTTTGGAGTACATAGCTTAAATTTTTCAAATTGTTTTTGTGTTTTTCTTGGTTTTCAAAGAAGATCATTCATCATAATTTTAGTTAAAATGTATTAACACGCGAGGGGAAATTATACAAAAAAATGTGTTAACCCATTGTTATAATCATTAATGAAACAACACGAAAGAAATAATGTTCTAACCATGCGGTATAGTTTGTGAAATTTGTCGGGTTTTCATCTTGATATTTATTACGATATTTTGATACTCAAAAAAAAAAAAAAAAATTCGTTAACTAATAACAATTAAAACAAGTAAAAAAACAGCCGGGCCGAACTTTTAATGCCCTCCACCGTTGGGTAAATAAAATATTTTTATATAAAAGCATTTGAATTCAAACATGTTTCACTTTCAACTACAAATACCATTAAGACCGTTTGGATAATGCTATTAAACTTTTCAAAAAACCATAAAGTGGGTGAAGCTGTTATATGGGGGCCAAAGCAAAACCGGATCCTCTATAGACAATTTTATACCTCAAGGATTGTAATCTACCAAATCTTTTTACATACCAAATTAGAAACAATTTTGTGGGTAAATGTGACTAGGATAATCAAAAGTACCGAATATCGGTGGGTACCGTACAAATTCCAATTTTTAGACAAATCTGTGGAAAAATGTGTCAAAAATCATAAAAATATTGAATACCTGGAGGTACCATTATGTGGGGGCTATACTACAGCGTGGACTTTACTTAGAATATTTCGCCACACGTGCTAAAACCCATTACGAACTACAAATACAATTTTTAAACAAATTCGTGGAAATATGTGGCAAAAATCATTAAAATACCGATTATCGGGTGGTACCGTTAAATGGGTGCTATACCAAAACGTAGACCTATATATACTAAGTTCCGCCACCGGAGGTAGAACCCATTACCAACTACACATTTTTAAATAAATCCGTGAAAAAATGTGGCAAAAATCATCAAAATACCGATTATCGGGAGGTACCGTCATATGGCGGTGGACCGATCTCATTTTCAATACCAACCACATTACAAATTGTTGTGCCAAATTTTGAAGCTCTATGTACGTCATAGTACTGTATCGTGATTTCAATAGACAGACGGGCATCGTTAAATCGACTTAGAAATGTAGGCTCATCGTGAATATATGTACTTTATGGGGTCTACGACGAATATTTAGGGATGCTAAAAACGGAATGGCAAAGTTAATATACCCTTCTTTTCAAGGTGGAGTGTATAAAAATTAACTTAGGCTAGACTGAACTTTTGATAGCTTCCTCTAACGGAGCAAGAAACCCTTTGTGCCGACATTCTGTATGCGTTGCAGATACCAAATACGATTTTTCTTAGCAGTGAGAAGTTGACAAAATGCTGTCTATTTTCCAGTTGGAAAGTTGATAAGATATTTCCAATTGAAAATTAAGTTTTTCACTTTAAAGTTTACTAAACTGGGAAAGGTATAGAGGATACAGCGGTGTTTATACACTACTCATACCTTACAGAGTAAGGAAGAAAAACAGTAGCATTGTTTACGTTTTCATTTATAGATCAGTTGAAAATCCATGATTTGGAAAGCATGACAATTTTCCGAAATGCGTGGTCTCATACGGGAGAGAGAGAAAAACTGCAACAAAGTCATACGCCATAATTTTTACATTTTTTATTGAAAGAAGTCAAAAAATGTCGGGAATAGCATCAAATTTTAGAATAAGTTTAGATTTTTTTCGAATCGGTCACCTTTGGCACGAATTATGGCCTTCAAACGGCCAATGAAACCGACACACGCTGCCCGAATGTTGCTCTGAAGCGAGGAATCACATTTTGTAGCCATTTTTGGGTGGTGCGTGCTGAGTCCTGTTGAAATGTCCAAGGTCTGTGGCCAAAATGTTTGCGTGTCCAAGGCTTTAATACACTCTCCAGAATATTATCGCGATAATATTCGGCATTTATTCTGATGGTACGGTCGATTAATACGAGCGGTGAGCGACCATCGGCTGTTGTGGCCGAACACACTGTGGCCGGCGCTTAAATTCTGGTGGCCAACCGAAGGTGCACATTTTCAGCTGACCACTTTGGCAAGTAAATATATCAAATGCAGCTCAGAAATACCTTTGCTAAATTTTATCGAGATCGGGACAGATTTGGATATAGCTTCCATACATAACTTCGTCCGATTTGATTTTTATTGTGCACCAAACGTGTAATATTAGACCAAATGGGATGGAATTTGGCACTTACGACTGAATTGAGTCTAGAAGCTAGTATGTAAAATGTGGTGAAGATCGGTTCAGGTGTAGCTATAGCTTCCATATATATTGTTCATCTGATTTGTTATATTTGTCCTCCGCAGCCGTAATATGCACTCTGTAACAACAATATTTGGGGAAATATATCAAATGAAGCTCAGAAATACCTTTGCAAAATTTATCGAGATCGGTTCAGATTTAGATATAGCTCCTATATGTAACTTCGTCCGATTTACCTTTTATTGTGCACTAAACGTCTAATATTTGTCCAAATGGGATGGAATTTGGCACTTATGACCGAATTTAGTGTAGAAGCTAGTAGTTGGTGAAGATCGGTTCGGATATAGCTATAGCTCCCATACACATATATTGTTCATCCGATTTGTTACCCACAGCCGTAATATGAACTCCGTAACATCGATATTCGGGGAAATATATCAAGTACAGCTCAAAAATATCTATGCCAAATTTTATCGAGATCGGTTCAGATTTGGATATAGCTTCCATTTATATCTTTTTATGATTTCAAATTAATTTTGCACCAAATGGGCAATACAAGCCCCAATTGAAAATATACAAATACTTCGGCATATTTAGTCTTTTGACCCAACATACCAAAATGGCTTGAGAATAATATTACAATAAGCTTATGAACATAAGCCTTAAGCTTGAGAAAATCTTGAGAAAACATTGAAAAATGTTTGTGTAACAAGTATAGAATAATCGAAACGGAACCCTTATTTATAAGCTTATACTTGAAATTGTAGAATAAGCTTACGAAAATAATATTATATTAAGCTAATTCTTGTAATGGTATAAAATAATATTTTTTTTAATTTTTAATCATTTTTCACATTTTTTTTCTTGATGGACATCCCAGTAGTCACTGCCTCATGTGGCCTTGATACCCTGACGCTTTCTTCTCCCTTATTTAAGCTTCTGCATCTCTTCCACTAAGACTACACATCTATTGAATTCCTGAAACTTTATTGATGCTTCCAATCTGAAATGGGATTGGAATAATTTATGTGAAAGATTCCCGGATTTATTATTCATCCATACCTTAAGAGTTCGGTCCAGAAATGGGTCCTAAATTCGCGTGATTTTGCTTTTTACCAAAGAAAATAATTTCTTTCTGACAATTTTCACAAAAAAATCAAAACTAATTTGTCAACAAAGGACAGATTTGAGAAAAGTTTATGGAACATAAGTGTTTCTCAAGCATTGTTAAAAAATTATATTAAAATTATATTTTTATAATATTGTTCTCAAGCTATATTGTATTTTTGGTATGTTGGGGAACTTTAAATTATAATTATAATCATAGCGTGTAGGATTGAATTCCCCCATAAAAACTTTTAATTGTTATGTGAAGCTCTACTAAAAATGCAAAGTGGTGTAGGGTATCATAAAGTCGGCCCGCCCGACTTTAAGACTTTCTTCACTGGTTTTACTTATCCATATTTGAATTTTGATTTTTCCTGTCTTAATAATAATTATTTACTTTATAAAATTTATAATATAATAAAACTAATAAATTGTATTGACAATGATTAAGCAAAATTTTCAGTCTCATCAAACTTCACTAACATATTTCTGGTTATTAAATGAAGATTTATGTAATTTCGTTGTGAGCACTCGACCTTGAACATGTTTAATATTTTCAAATCTTACTTATTTTTCAAATTGTACATATCATCCTTAAGGTTGACATAAATAAAACACTTCAATGTGACAAAATGCGCGTATGAATAATTCCAACAACATAAGTGTGCACTTAAGACCTTAAAACAATTTGGAATATGTTTGGAAATGCAATTGAAGAAGAAGTCCACCGTACTATGCGGCATGCGTAAAGTATTGCATCTTATCAAATAGCAATTAATGAAATTAAAATCAACGGTATGGGCGAAAACAATACTCAAAATCACAAGAGAAAAATCAAATTATTTTCAAAAAAAAAAAAAAAAAAAAACTTGACTGGGAAGACCTAAGCAAAGTGTCAGAAATATGTTTTGTGCAATTATAGAAATTTGACAAGTATATTTTATTGTTTATTGTAGTGTTCACGCATTTTTTTTTTTTTTTTTGAAATGTTATGTAATTAAAGTTAACTAATGCACAAATGTACGAACATATGTACATATATTATCAGATTTTACTTCATTCATTAAAAACATAATTAAACGACAGCTTAATGATCGCATTAAAGCATGAAACACGACAACAAAACGCCGTAGCAATTGAAAGTTATTTGTCAACGAACCAATCAGTCAGTCAGACTTCGAACATAAAGTTGTATGCTCTTTTTTTGAATGAGAAATATTTGTGTGTACCATTATTTAGTCATTTGTACGAAGCTATACACATTTTTTCTATTCTACATAAATATTGTGGTAAAAGTAAACAATCAACGTATTGAGTATTGGACGTGCGACTTTTTAGAAAAAAGCGCCTTATGAAAGTTGGTTGCACACCTGTATGATGCAGCAGTTGTGTTACAACATGGTCACATATATATTAGGATCAGTTCTGGGCAATTGCTTGAAATTTGAAGTTAAAACGAAACATTTTATAATTTTTGGAAATTCAAACTTTAAGGGTATTAAAAGTCTAAAATGGTACTAAACTTCTAAAATGGAACCATTTGGTTGTTGTTGTAGCAGCTCATACATCTGTGTTCGTTCGGTTTCCATTTTCTGACTCTATTCAATCAGGTTCTGCCTCTAAGTACAGTCTCAAAAAGGATGCAACCTGTATGGGTTGTGTCCATAACGAGACTGGAGTTAGGTGAGTAGGTTTGGCTGGGCAGCGAAATAGGTGCAGCGTCTCATATGCTGGGCAGATGTTCTGCACGTCGCTGTTTATCCGGTCGCTGTTTCATCCGGATTGTAATTGAGCCAAAACTACTCGGGGCAGCTCTGGTTCTTCAGCTGCGACGGGAGGGGGATGGTCTCCTAGCACAGTATTCACTCTATACCTAAGATGCACAAAATAGTACATTTTCGTCGATGTCGCGTTCGTGTGTATTTTTATTCTCTCGCTTTCAGTCGTTGATGAGACTTCAACGGATACACACATGCCTGGGTGGTGCACGCATTGTTTTGCCGTGAACACTTAGAGAAAACAAATGACAGATTTAATGAGACTAGATGCGTAGGGAAAATATGAATATGTTCAGTTGTTATTTTATGCTTTTGGAAATGTACAGTGCGTTTTGTGTTACAAAACGTTTAAAAGGAAGAGGGGAGATGTCCTAAAGACACATTTTCATAAAGCCCACAATGCAGTCAGTTGTTTAGGCGAAGATGACAAGAGACGTCTTTTTGAGGAAAAACAAGAAATTTTTATAAATAAATTAAAGACATGATTGATTGGTGCGGATAATAATAATAAGAAAAGTAAGAAGTTAAAAAATGAAATGTCAAGAATTTTATATAATAAAACAAGGGAGACCATTCAGCGATGGCGTATTTATTAAAAATATTCTTGAAAAGATAATGGAGAAGTAGCATTCGAAACCCAATTACATAAATACTATTTTCATTTTATTTTCATAAAAAAATATAATCAAAAATTTCTTTACGTGCATTTTTGTTTTCTCTCACACATACAAGCGCAATGTTCATTTTGTGCATCATAGATCTAGAGACTCTCTCTTATACCTCTCTCTCTAGATCATGAAGGCCTTTCCTAACGTGCCTGGGCGAAGTTTGCCTATCCACAAGATGGTGATTCGGATGGCTTTGTCTATAACACCCTTAGGCATTCTGCCCTTAGGCATTCTGCAGGACTGAACATTTTTCCACAGCGTAGCACTGCACATTCAAGGATAGCCCCATCTCCCCAGTCCATGTGGTGAAAAGTGTGGCCGTCGACTTAGTGGCGGATATCTTCATATTCCTCGCAGTGAAAGAGGCGGTAAGATCAACAAGGTAAGCGTTTAACCGATCGCAAATGTCATCAATAATGGGTCCGGACGCCACGAGCGTACGTTTTAATCACTATGCCGTTTGGAGGGCGAGTAATGTCAGAAAGGTAGAGGTTAAATAGTTCCGGAGATATCACCCCACTTTGGGAAACTCCCTGTTTAACTCTACGGATGCTCGACTTCTTGTTTCTGAATTCCACGTACGACTGGCGTCCACACATGTAGTTTAGTATCCAATGTTTCAAACTTGGCCGGAGGGCGGTGCGCTCAATGTCCTCGAACAGCATGGCATGATTGACTGTATCAAAGGCTTTTGATAAATCAAGTGCCACCATAACTGTTCCATCACACGGTCTGTTCTGGTTGAGACCTCTGCTGACATGTGTGGATATGGCGTGTAAAGCTGTTGTTGTGCTGTGCAATTTTCGGAATCCGTGTTGATGATCGGCTACTGGGAAACACTCTCTTATGCTGGGGAGGAGTAAAGCCTCAAGCGTCTTTGCTACTGGTGACAAAAGTGATATCGGCCGGTATGAATCGCTTTTGCTGGCATCCATGCCTGGCTTCAGTAGCGGGACCACCCTGCCCATTTTCCAGACATCGGGAACTACTGGGGTGGCTAACGACTGATTGAGAAACTTTGTGAGATACTCAACTCCTGGTTCATCCAGTTGCTTCAACATCACCATTGAGATTCCGTCAGGACCAAGCGCTTTGGATGACTTTGTGCTTCTAATGACATGTGCAACATCTGCCAACGTAAATTGTGGCGGTACCTCCTCGACTGGAAGGGATCGTACACGGCGTAGGATCCTTATCTTCGCCCTGTCGCTCTCGGGGTGCTCTACAAACTGCCGGTTAAAATAACACGCACACCTATTCGGATCAGTCACTTCTACGTCGTTAAATGAGACAGACGTCCGATCGTTCTTTTTCCCAGGGTTCGAGAGCGACTTAACCGTTGCCCACAATTTACTCGTTCCGGTACTGATGTTCTAACCACTTTTTCCGCTTATGCTCAACTACTAACCTGTTTACCTCCACTTCGTATGGACATTTGGCTAAGAATCACGATTGGGAATTAAGTTAAATAATAGAAGGTGGTTTTGGAAATGTGTACTGCAAGTGCACTAAAAGTTCTAAATAGTACTATGTTTCGTACAAGGCATCTCTTGGTATCTGGTGGTAGCTTTGCAAAGTGGTTCTAAATTTGGAAATTAAAGAGCTGAAATTTGATATTGTGGTCACTGTCGGTTTCTTGGGTTTATATATGAAGACGTTCAAATAGTTTCGGACAGAAGAAAATGTAAAATGTTGAGATTTTTTTAAGGACTTTTCACTGACGAAATAGCACGCAGTTGCTAGTAGTTACGTGTTTCGGTACAGCTCTCATTGTTTACATTAGAGTCCCTTTGTTTTTGGTCTAGTTATCCTCAGTATATATATCATTTGATACGGCAAAATCGTACCTCATTTGTCCATCGTCTCATAAGACGAAGTAACCATTAGGAACTTCAAATTGCAAATTTTAAACATTTCCGGTGAAAAGTGTGACACAAATCATCAAAATACCGAATATTTGGAGGTACAGTTTTATGGGCACTATAACGAAACTTAGACCTACATTGACAGTTCTATGCAAAGATGTTTCTTAACAATTTACAGCAAATTCGGGTTAAGACTGTGACTAAAGCAGCCAAAAAACATGAATTCTGCCGCTACAGTTATACGGGGGTTATACCAAAACGTGGACCTATATAGCCCATTTTCAATACCAAAAGTCCTACAGAACAAACACACATCTGAGTAAATCAACCTACCTTATTTCGTTCGGTTCCTAGTGTGATTTCCACAGACGGGCAGATGAAAAAAATAATTTTACATTGATCAAGAATATATATCCTAAAAGGTATGTTTCGAGGTGCTACAAACGGAATGACAAACTTAAAATACCATCTATACTATGGTGGAGGGTATACATCTCATATAAATTGAAGGAAGTAGTTGATTTAGTCCAAATCTGTCACGTCTTAATATTTATATTAGAGTTAGGTCAGATATTCCACTCCTTTCCATAAAGGGTCAACATAATTAAATGTTTTTTCAAATATCAGTAGATTTTTATATGTTTTCTTAAACGACGTCATTTTCAACAATTTTTACAAATTTAAATAATTTTTCATTCAACATGTTTAATTCCAAAATTTGTTTGACAGTTTATTGTCCCAGCAGCTGTGTC